TAACCGTACCGTTACCCTTTAACCCTTTACCTTTACCGTTTACCGTTACCCGTACCCGTACCCCGTACCCCCTACCCGCCGTACCACCACCACCACACACACACACACACACACACACACACACACACACACACACCTCTCTCTCTCTCTCTCTCTCTCTCTCTCCAGCCTTTCCTCTCTGGCAGTGTGAATTCTGGGAGCAGCTTGGTACCCCTGTTGCCTCTCATAGACCCGGCACACAACAAAGAGTAGACACATGTTAAATAATTATTGACAGAGCCTGTCCCCTTGTTCATGTTTGCTCTCCACCTTAGTCTCTGTCCAGGTCATCTGTCAAGGCATAGCCTAGACCCACCACATCCTTCATGAAATTTCTGAACCATGTTCTTGGAGCACTCTTTTCCCCTCTGACCTTCATTCCATCTCATAATACCTGTAGCTTTCTGCCTGTGGTATAAGATGCATGTGGGTGATAAAAGATATACATGGGTGTCTCTTCTTCCCTGTTTCCTCAAGTTCCTTCAATCCTCATTCAGTCACCTCCTTGTGCCGGAGTATGCTGGGCAACACAGATGCGAGAGACACCTGACGGGGTCTGTGTCTCGAGATGCTCAAGTTCAGACTAGGCTTTGAGCACAGCCACGGTATCTGACTCATCTTCCTATACCCCAGGCCTTGGGCCATGGTACGTGGTCCTTAAGTATTTGATAATGGCCTTGGGTTACCCAGGAGAGTCCCCCTGGACTGGGACATCAGTGGGTCTTGTGAGGTCACCCAAGGCTAGTGAGCTTCTTGAGGTTGGTCACAGAGGTCCCTGGGCTTTCTGAGGGAAAGGATTTGGTATTACAGGGAGGTCTGGGGGTAATCAGCCCTGCCCCTAGATGATGCATTCAAATCCAAAACCCCTGAATCAGCTGAGACTTGGTACCCAGGGATCCAGGGTTTAGTAATATACCTGCCAAGACTCTGGCCTGAGGTAAGGCCTACCTTTGTCACTAGGTGTCACAGTGATGTTGCACAAGTCATGCACCCATTCTGGGTCTACCTCGATTTTATTCAACCAACAGTTATGAACACCTACTATGTCCCTGACACTGTGCCCAGTCCTGGAGATAACGGAGATAAGTCAGGTATGACTAGTTCCCTTCGAGGGCTCATAGTTCCGCGGGCATTATGAAAAGGAACTTCACAGAGAGATGCTGTAACATATTTATACTGTATAGTTCTTCGTTTTCAAAGCCTAAAGAAGGCTCCTCGTTGCCTTCAGGATAAATCTCCAACCTCCTTTACCTAGAACAAGGACCTTTTATAATCTGACCCCTGCCTGCCTATCCAGCTTCTCCCCCACACCCACCCTGTGCCCTAGCCATACTCTAATGTTAGTCATTCATAGTGTTCCATTATTGCTCATGTTTTTGAACCCATGATGTCCTTCCAGAATTCTCTACCTGCTAAATTTCTGATGAGTCTTCAATATGAAGTATAAGTAACAAAATAGAGGTATGTACAGAAGAAGCATCATGTTTGTAAACTGAGAATAGTTCTAAATATCACGGTATTAAGCAAGCTTGCTTGCTTGCTTGCTTCCTTCCTTCCCTCCCTTCTTCCTTCCTTCCCTTCCTTCCCCTGCCCTCCCCTTTGCTTCCCTTCCTTCCTTTCCTCCTCTTTCTTTCCTTCTTCTTCTATTAAAAGGGCACATTAGATTAGATTAGCTCTACCAACACTTTTGAAACTGAGAAGGACCCTGTGGGCCCTCCCAGATACAAAAGCACCTTCATATCCCCTGTTTCTCATTTGTAGAACAAGGCTTTAGTCTCCTAGGCCTTCCCTAGAGTTCCAAAGAGCAGACTCAAGCAGTTACTAATTAGGGAAGTCGGGAAAAACAGAGACAAAGTGAAAGCAGTCAAGCAAGAAAAATAATGCTAGCTTAGACAGTAATAGTTCAGTGATAGAACAGAGTCCTAGTTCCCCCTCAAGGAATGTGTGTAACAGTCTGACACATATCTTTGAGTTGTTCTGCTGGAATTAAGACCCCACCCAGGTGGAGGATGGTGACTACATGCTGATCACAAGCACATAGACTGGTTAGAACCACAAGGTTGATAATTAAGATTCCCGAAACATCACCCTGTTACCACACCACCAGCTACTCAGAAGGAAGTCCATGAGCTGATCACGAACCCTGCAACCCTCACCCCAAATGTTGCCTTAAAAACCCTTCCCTGAAAGCCACTGGGGAGTTCAGGTCTTTTGCTGCCTGTCCGCCTTGCTTGGCACCTGCAATAAACGCTACTTTCCTTTACCACACCCGGTGTCCGTAGATTGGTTTTGCTGCACACGAGCAAGCAGACCCAAGTTTGGTTTGGTAGGGCTTTTAAGACACATTAATCATTCATTAATCTTTGTACTGGGTCTTTGCAAATCATGATCAATCTGTCTGAACTCTGCCTCTCCTTACAGTGTTTGAAAACATCCCCAAACCAATTAACCAGACTGCAAGCTGTGGGTTTGGCTTCCTGAAGAAAGTTCTTTCCAATGGTGAGTGAGATGTCAAGTTTCCTCCACCACACCGAACCTTCCCCTTCCTAGATTCTTGTTCCTGCCCTGGATTATAGTTTTCTCGCTTAAAAATGCTCTAAGAGATCACTTAGGCCTCTTATTTCAGAGCAGTGAGGTGCTCATCGTGGCTCTGGGCTTTCGGGCCCTTGGGGAATGTCTTTCTCTCTTCTCATTCTTGCTTATCCTTTAGGTGAATGCTTATCACCCTTGCAGACCCCACTCAAAATCAGTCCTATTTAGCAAGTCTCCCCAGATCCCTCAAGGATGAATCAGTTGCTTAGTTGTTCTGTTCTCTGTGTGCCCACGGAATTCTGTACCTTTCTTTTCCTTAGCTCTAAGCACACTGTTTTATCATCTAAGCCAGATCAAGAGTCAGGTTAGTCAGGCAGGGTACCAGGTACCATCTGTGATGGGATGAAAATATAGCTAGTTAGAGAAACTTATATTTACCAGAACTGTTTACTAATATGTGATTGGAGGGAGATCTGAGGCCCAGAGAGGTGAAGTAACTTCTGTGCAAATCAAGCTTGTAAGTGGTTGAACTGGGATTTGAATCTGACTCCCAAATCAGTGCTCATGCTGGGTGTTCGCTTGATCATACGTGTTAGATGCTGAGTACCAGGCATTGTGTTAGGCGCTGGGATGTAAAACTTGATCATGGCCGCCCTGGCTCACAGCAGGTAATGGTGGAGCGGAGCCAAACCCCTCATGAGGCTCTCCTGTCCCCTGTGTGATTTCCCCACTAGGAAGCTCCATAGCCAGCTTCCCAGCATCTCCCTCTCCCCAGGAAATGGCAAAACACTTCCTCAGAACAACCCCTTCCCCTGCCCCAAAATCTTTGGCTGTGCCCGCTGTGGAAACCCAGCCAAGGCTGCTGCCAAGTTCATTAATAATTTTGGCTTTCTGGAGGAAGGAGTTGGATTGCTTTGCTCTGCAAATATCAAAACATCCAATTAACACAGCTAATTAGCATCACTAGCAGCAGTCAAAAGAATGGCAATTTAGATGCAGGATTTCAAAGCTTTCCTAGTTGTAGGCCAAGGCAACCCATCTCTTGCTAATGACAAGAGTTCCTCGCTTAGGCAATTCTATAGCAGCCATCAATTAGCCCAGCCACCGGGCAGACTGGCTGCATCCCCGAGTCCTTTGTCTAATCAGAACTGGAGAGACAGAAAAGAGACAGAATAAGGGATGGAGCGAGGAGGGAGGAAGGGGGGAAGTGAGAGGGAGAGAGGGAGAGATACAGAGAGAAATAACACACAAAGACGTAGAAAGTCTCAGAGAGTGAAAGAGAGAGAAACATGAAAGGTGACTTACAGAGAGATAAACAGATAGCAATCATATAGGTACAGAAAAAGTAAAGAAAGAAATGTCCTAAATATAGAAAAGATGACAGAAAGTGTCTGGCCACCGGGAGCTTTGGGAAGACAGCAGGTCACCAGGAAGCCTAGTGTC